AATGCAATGTTTTATATGTGTATTTTTCCTTGAATTATTACTGCTGTATTATATATGTTCAAATTTTCAAATTTAAAAAAGAAACAGAAGTTAAAAAAAAAAAATACTTCTTTTATGTGAACTCTTTGTTACCTACAAGATAATTTATTTATCTTTTCACTGTTGCTTATTAAAAAGACTACTGACAAGTTTCCCAGACCTTGTGAAGTTGACTTGTTATTCCTTGCTTCAGACTGAAGTGAGTTTCCTAGTGATGCAAATTGCAGCTTTGTGCCCTACATTTGGAGTCTGCACTGATGCACTTGTATTGATAGCTGGCTAGAACTGGAGCAACATTTCCCTTGTAGGCCAGATCTAAGAGCAGCATTGAGGGTTGTGTGGGGGGGATGGAGAGGCATAACAGTCAAGGCCTTTGTTTTTTGTAAAATGTTCCTTTTTTTTTTTTACTGTTTGTCAATAGTTTGCTCTTTGTGTGGAGAGATCTCTCAAAACAAACATTTAGTTTTGAAGTTAACACAGAGGTACTTGTTTTGTCCATTTGTAAATACAGCATAGAATTCTGCGGTGTTTCCAAACTGCAGTCAGTGTTCAGTTAACTTGGTTTCAGCTGAAAGCAAGGGTCTCCTGGGGAAAGAGAAATGAATATTTGAATGCTTTTAAAAAATTTTAGCTGAGGTGCTGGAAAATAAATGGATTAAAGAACAGTCAGTGTATGGCTTCCTTACCAAAAGTAGTTTTTAGAAATTTACCTGACAGTTATTTTGGGCAACTTAGGTCAGTGTGCTGCTCTCCAGGAGCTGAGCAGGCACCTCGTGACCCTGCAGGGCTGGCACAGAGAGCTGTGAAGGCACTGAATCCTGCTGTGGGGGAGGAAGGACTTCAGGCTGTTGTTTTTCTGGCTGTGATTCTTCATCAAAATCAGTAAATTCAAAATTTGCATCATACCCTGCAGTAGAAGAGAATGAAGAAGCCTGTTCTTATCTTTGCTGAAATCTGGTTCCTTGAAATGTTCTCTGATGCACTTAAATTTTCTTTTCAAACTTCCCGATAGTGCTTACATCAGTCTTTAGACATCACTAAGGGTTTGGTCTTAAGAACCAAAGGAGCAGAGCTCCTGCACTTCGGTTACAGGGTCAGGACGTGGAGCAGGAAGATGGAGTGTCTGGGCCCACAGCAGGGCCAGAACTGGATGAGCTGTTGGGTCCCTCTCACCTCAAACCCTTCTATGATTCACAGCAGCCTGAGCTGGGATATTTATTGCTTTTCCTTCTTCAAATACCACCTCCCTGTTGCTTACTACCCTCGCTCTGGCTGCCATTTCTTTGAGCATCCATCTTCCTCTGCACTGATGTTCTTGCAAAAGTTCCCACTGTCTGCCTGTGCCTCCTTCCTCCTCAACCCCAGTCTCTAACAACTTCAGATGAGCCCAGGTTCAGACGTTGCTTCTGACACTTAACCTCTCTCCTTACTGCTATTTTTCCTCAATCACATCACACTCACTACAGATTATTCTTTTTTTTGGCCATGCATACAAAGCCTGCCCGTTCACTGACTAGGTCACATCTCTGAGCTCCTAGCAAAGAGCTGGCCAATCCCTGATTTCATCTTCTGAGCAGCTCTCGTCTGCCTGTCAGGTGTACCTGGGGGCTGAAATGCAGCATCAGCATTGGGGCTGCAGCAGATGGAGAGTTCTGTGCAATCCCAGAGCCTGACAGCGACAGGGGAAGGCAGCAGGCAGAGCCTGGCTCCCTGTAGCTGCAGTGCTGCTGGGCCCAGCTGTGCGCCCAGTTCAGTCAGTCCTGGGGGGACTCCTGATGGGTCATTGTCACCTTCCATCCATGAACCATTTACAGAGACCTCCGTGCTCAGCCCTCCAGTGCATTTTGTAGCTTGCAGCCCAGCCAAATGAAGAGTTTGGTATGCAGCTCAGACATGCTATTTCAGTATTTCCCTGCTGTTGATTTAATTACTGGATTTCATTTCTGCCAAATGATTAACAGCTTCAGGAATTGTTGCTATTTCATGTCATGAGATACAGTTTTAAACATGTCAAACTCAAGCTCTTTTGTTTAGATATATCCATTTGAATAGGAAATATATTAATATTGCTAAGGCAGTGAAAGGTCATCGTTCTTCGTAATTATTATGACTTGGTTTTGAAAACACCTTCTGTGGAACTCATCAAAACAAATCTGTGTATGTTTGTTTTTTTTCTTTTATGATGACTATATGTGAGCAAGCGAAAGATGTCCCAAACTTGAAATATTTTCAGTAATTTCTTTAAAAATTACTTGTCAAACCTGTCAAACATTGCTATTCCACGTATAGAACATAAAGAAAACAATAAGAACAATAGAAACAAGATCAGATGACTTAGTTCTCTTTCATTTTCCTTCACTTAGCTATAATAAATACGTATAAACTCTCTCCTTCCTTTCTGCCACCCCTTTTCTCTGCCCTCCCACCCCCATGACTGTATGCCTTTATCCTGTCTTGATTAATACCTGAGCAGGTAAGAAATGGCTCTAATGAACAGTTAACTATTTAACTGTATAAAATGGTGTAAACAGAAGGTGTAGATTAAGAAATGCAGGCAGATGCATGCAAGTGGCTGAGGCTGAATGTACATCCTCAACTTGGATTCTTCTTGGATTTATTTAGTACTTACCCATGCAATCGTAGCCTTCCAAACACATGTTGCTGTACATATAACACACAAAAGGATGGTGAAATGAAGTTTTGCTAGCAATATCTATTTAGGGTCTTAGGGGAAATGTGGGGTATTTGGCCTAAAATTCCACTCTGGCAGCTTTTTGGAGTGTTATGTGCTTGGTTTTTGCTTTGTTCTTTTTGCACTGTGGGCTTCAAGACTCCTACCAATTAATTCTGGAAAAAGGCTTAATGTAGGCTACTCCTCAAGAAGGGGTCTATTTTAACATTCAGTAAACAGATAATCCATTAGGACAACAATGTACATTGTGGCAAGTGCTATCCTAGGATTTTTTTTGTCAGCGCTTATTTATAGTCTTTTGATTTCGCTTCCCTCCTGCGGTGCGGTTTCAATCATTCTCCCTCCAATCTTTGTTCCCGTATTCATTGCAAGCTGAAAACAAAGTAAGAAAGAAGCTCATACGTAGCGTTCTATTCTTGGCCAGTTCTTCCTCTATAGCAAGAAGGCGGTTGTATTTGGTCACCCTTTCTCCGCGGGAAAGACCTCCCAGCTTGACAAACCTGGCACCCAGTCCAACAGCCTTGAAACGAGAAAGTGCGTATTTTAAACCTATTTGCTTCGGGGAGTGAAGTCGTTCGTAGTAATTATACACGGTACCCTGCTCCCAACTTAACAATTTTCTTATCTTTTTACAGATAATAAACCTCCTTTAAGTAGAAATAACATCTCTCGATGAGAGATTTGCTGGATGCAAACAATAATTTTCACTGGCATACAAAGAGGAATTTTATTTGCAAAGGTAGCTTTAACACAAGAAGCCTAAATATATCACTGTTGAACAACTTTATAGATAATATTATTACCATTCAGAAATGTTTTAAGTAACTCACTTTCTTATAAACGAATGCAACCAAATAGATCATATGCCCTCGTGAATTTACTCCCTGCTTTGGCAAATTTCCTGCATCTTCTCTTTACACTCAACGATTAACTTTCTGTGGGGGAAAAAAACAACCCTAGAAAAAGACCGTTTTGTAAAATGTTTCTTTCTCACACAGGAACAGGCTTTCTCCTAAAAAATAATTCATGTTAAAAGCAGTGTTTTGGCAATTCTGCAACTGAATAGCTTTCAGTACTTACCAGATCCACGAGGCTATCATCAGAAGATTCTCCATCTGGACTTCCTAATATGGTAACACGCCTTTGACCTACATGTAACAGCAGTGTACAACCTTCATTAGTAAATATTTTATAAATTTGACAGAAATTGTTTACATTTTGCATTCTTTTTTTTTTTTTTTTCCACTGGGCTAAGATGAAATGAAACTCATTTCGTGAAAATGTAAACGATTCCGGTTTGCCACAATTATGGCATTAATGGTACATTTTCTTTTATTTTCAGCACGAATAAGGGAGTATCTAACATCCCATCCTACCTACCTCTAGCTGCTGTGTCCGGCAATGTACGGTACACACCAGGAGGCTGTTCTATTTCTTTAAACATGCTTTTTCCTACAGTAATGATTTTTCTTCACTATGAAAAGGAGTTAACCCTCGTGACTGAATGAAATGTTTAAGTTGCTATTTACTCACTTGGATGTAGCGATTCTGGAATTTTTGAGGGAATGAGGAGAAGGAAATTATATAAAATTCGTCCATCTATTTCTTGGGGATAAAGATGAACAGAAGAAAAAAATGGTGCGAAGAAATGTTATGTAAGAAAAAGCACAAGTTTCTGGTACTCGTAGCATAAAGGCTCAGCAATGTGCCAAGCGCCCTTTTCAACGTTTCGGACTTTGTTTGCATTTCTTGATTATTAACATGAAGCAAAATTCAAATTCCTCAGCTGTATCATTTGTTTCATTTTAATTCTGACAACGAACTGCAGGACTCTTATCTGCAGTGCCCAGGGACATCCGCATTCCAAGCACACACAGTGCACTCGCTCAGCCCGCGCCCCGTTCCAGGCTCCTGAACGAGAGATTTGTGAACAGAACATGCCTCCGTTTCTTCTGACAAAAGCAAACTAAAATAGAAATGGTGCTGATTAAATCAAAAGATGTAATATTTAGAGGTGTTGCAACATGATTTATTGACTTGCAGGGCTTGCAGGCAAGCCTTTTTCCCTCTCTACTCACCATCCAGACGTGCAGTCAGTTCGACGAGGTCTGATACCTTGGTTTGATTAACATATTTTAGGACAACACCACTGCACATCGGTATCTTTATGTTCTGGTCTGTTTTAAGCTTGGAAGTATTTGTGGCAGCATCTTCAGCAATCAGGTAACATTTGGAACCAAGAGCATGACACAAGTTATTCCATTGCTGTCTGTCCTGCATAAACAAACAAGCAAATACCTGAAGTTTAGAACACCAAACTGAATGAAAACTCTAACTCAGGAGGGAGGCACAATTTAAAACTGGAAAAGTTTTGTTTGGATTTCATCCTACTCTCTATATAAAGATACATTTTATATTTTGAATCTCTCTCTATGAAAATATATCAATTTTGCTTGGCTTTTAAGATTTTGCTAGAAAACAAAAATTGGTACCTGGAATTAATCAAAGATAGTTGCACAGCAGGACAGTTTGAAATACTACAAATTAAACTAACAGTAGGGCTTTGCTATTTTAATTTCCCTTCCTGCGGTGCATTTAATTTAAATGGATGACAAAACAATTTTCTATTGTTTTATTTAGAGCACTCATTCTTGTGTTCATATTTTAAGTGTCATTATATCTGTTTGAATATAAAGGGATGAGACAGCCATAGATTCAGTGAAGTATATCAGGAGAGGATGATCAGAGCTACAAGACTGACCCATAAGGAACTGTGGAATACAACACTGTCTTTCCAGCAAAGCTCCAATTTTTTAGGCTTTCTCTTAATTTGAATGCACTGTCCACCTGGTACTGAGATTTAAAGATAAACAGAGGAGAGGAGTATATAAATAATTTGGAAAAAAAATAATTAAAAATGTTTGTTTTCTTTGTCTCCACAGAATGCAAAGTTCTCACATTAAAATAATGTATAATTTCAAGTTAATAATTCTGAAACCAATAATTCTTGGTCTGTGGATCAGACTGAAATGTGTAGCTACAAGTATGCAATACGCACAGGACTCTGTTCCTGTAAAGCTGTCAAGCCCACAGGTAACTGAAAATGGAGGTTTGACACGTGGCCAAATGTTTAAACTTAACCACTGGGGCGTTCTTCTACCTGGCGGTGGATTGCTGAATTGGTACCACAGTAATCCTCAAGGACCTCATTATCTGTGGCAAAGCCGTGGCCTGGGTTAGCTTCATGGATGTGCTGCGGGGGGAGGAGGACAGGCATTTTCCTTCACAGCACTGTCTGTCTGTAGCAATCCTTCCTCACATTTTCCTGTTTTCCTCAGAAGAATTTGCAAGGTCTGCAGCCCCAGCAGGAGCAGGGAATAACCGAGGGTTTTGGAATACGGGGATCAGTTTGAAACAGGGCAGGGGAGTGAGGTAACAATATAAACCAGTATCTGAAAAACAAGCTGTTAGAATTTCAGCTAAGAACTCAATTTTGCAGTTCATCTATTACAGAATTATCATTTCAGGCACTTGGCAGATTCACAAAAGTACTTTAGTGCCCCCTTCATTCATGCTCAACGTTTTTTTTCTTTTCATGAAAAGACATCTTTATTTTAAAGTGAAGTCAAACTTCCAAAGGAAGAGAAGTTTTTGTTAAGCTGTGCAACTTTAGAATCTTTACTACAATTAAATTTATATCTTTTGGTAATACGTGGAAACTGAATTATATGTACAAATGCTAATCTCTGAGGTTATGCCATCTCTTTCACCTATCTGTAGCTTGCTAAAACATTTGTGTTCTACTTGGTTGTTTTAATCTGTTGCCCACACTCAATTATCTCCCCTAACACTGATCACAGTGATAAAATGCACTTTAAAATTCTGCTGAGCAATGCTGCCAGCTACAGATTTGTTCTGGCTTTGGGTATACATCTCAGTCATAAGGAAGAACAGCTATGTGAGTTTTCTGAATGGTTCTAAGGAATGTACAGCTATACAGCTATGTAGGAATTTTTAGTTTCTTCCACTTAATATCATTTATGTACCACGTGAATTTTGTAATTTGATTTTATAGTACAGTTTGTATTACTTGTTTTCATAAGAAGGAAAATGTAATATGTAATATGACAGTGCTTGAGCAAGAAGAATCGGGAAGAATTAGCATTTTCTCGTAGCAGTTGTGCTGCCCATATTCTGTTTGTGTCATTTTTTCTATTTTCTATCAGGAATTAGCTCAAACATAACAAGTATCTTGAATTATAGTCAATTCAATATATGCAAATGAATTAATGCATGCTTTTTTTTATACTGGCGTTTCTGTGCCTCTCTGAAAATAGAAGCTTCATTTTTGGTACGTTTTGTAAAAGCATGACAAGTTCAGTGGTTTCACACAAACTCTTACCTCTTTCCTTAAGGGATCTACTAAGGCAATAATAGAAGGAAATTTATTAACCAGTTCCACGTACGTGTCGACCATTTCATCAGGGCTTCTGAATGTTCCAGTAAGTATTTCATATTTTCCTTTCACCTAGAAAGCACAGGATGAAGTATAAAAGAATGGCAGTTCTTCAATTAGACCCAGTCCTAATATAAGCACACAGGATATCTCCACTGGGGCACTGGATTCAGTAAGCTCACATTCACTCTGCTTACTTTATTCTACGTCTGTGTGAACATTATTATGGAAATCTCTGCCTGAAGTAACAGTCAGCTCGTGCCAAATACACCATGCCCAAAACAAGGCGGATCTCTTTCAGCATTTCCTAGGCAATGCTGTCAGTTTTACACAACTTTGTCATAAAGTTATCAATATTTGATATTTTTATTAAATCTTGCATGAAAAATCTCTTTTCACTTCCAAAAAAAAAAAGAAAGTTAATTCTTAGTTCCTTATTTGCATAGGGGAAATGTTGCTATGAGAAAAGGAGAACACCTTCAGTACTCAAAAATAAGATACTGCCTTTCCTTGGTGCTTTCCCATTTCCAATAAACAACTGAAAAATAAAAAGAGGAAAAAAAATTATCAATGAAAAACAAAAACATAGGGAAAAAATCCAGTCAAACAAACAAAAAGTAACACCACCCCTCCCCAAGGAAAAAACCCAACACGCAGAACCAAAACAAACAAACAAACCCCCCCACACACACACACAGAACAGCCAACCCAGCACCACCAAATAAAAGCTCGTTTCAAACCAGTCCCATCTTTATGGCAATCATAAACCATAACACACGAGTAGAAGGATTATTAAGGGATTATGAGTACACTATCAAATTGTGCCAGAAATAAAACACTGCTTTATTGACTGCAGCAGTTAAATTACTCATAATTCTTTAAGATGCTGCTCATTGGAAACTGTCAGGAAAGCAACACAGAGGATCCTGTGCTAATCTTGTGAGTACAGTGTACCCAGACAGCCTAAATGTCACACAGTGCTAAATCACAGAGAGCAGCCAGTTTCTTTTTCTGCTCAGAGAAAAAGCTGACTGATCTCGGAACAAGGGCTTACAACTTTAAGACTTCAGCTGGAGATGAATAAACTGCATCAAATAGAGAACTTGAAATATAATCACTGCATGTGAATGCTGTATACAGAGATAAATGTTACTGGGTACGCAGTAATGTAGTAAAAATATACTAAAAGGTCAAGAAGAGATGGAGCGTAATAGAAGGGAGAAATAAGCATCAAGTGGTGCAAAGGGATTACAGAAGTATATTTGCATAAATAATTTCTTGCTCTTCATCCTCAAAGACAAGATAGTTAGAAGATTAATTTGAGATAATTACTTAATTTACTCTGCGTGGTGAACGAACAAAACAGTATTTGCTGCCTACTACTGCAATTCAAAATCACCTGAGATGTTCTGTGACAGGAAGCTGGTTTGCTGAACGGAAAGTTTGCTACCTTTAACACAGACTCATCTGAAAAATGTTGCTAAATAAACAAGCAGAGAAGAGGAATAAATGTGACTGACACAGGGCGGCTTATAATGATCCATTTGTTTGATATGATAAAAGTTAAACTGTGAAAGCAGCAGAGATTTTTGTAGGCAGGATGCAGGGCGTAAGGAGAGGCTGCCTTGCTCCACTGAGCCTTTTTCCACACGAGGTGTGTCAGTATGCAGAGGAGGAATACACGCCAGCTCTGCACTGGGCAACAAAAAGGATGTCTGCATGGCTTGCCCTTTTTGCTCACAATCCAATAGCACATCTGCTGAATTTGTAGCACTGATTCAAACAGAATTTATAAAGGCAGAGATACTTCTTTGCTTGTGGAAAACAAAGTCAAAAGATTCTGGGCGAGTCTGCATTGCAATAGTAGTGTTAACAAGTAGCTATTTTAATAAGCAGCAGAAGTAACTTACGTAGTCCATTAATTCATGAGCAGCACAATTAATTGCTAAATACAAATCTTTTCCCAGCTCCAGACCTATATTGTTGCAAGCTGTCTGCATTAGGAGGAGAGGTTGCTCTAGATTATCACATCCCGTTATCAGGCAGCCTAAGTGTGATACTCTTTTTAAGGCTGGTGGCTGGAAGCAAAACAAAAATAATCAATTTATTTACAAATATATAAAACTTACATACATATTCACTGTCATTACAGCCTGCCTTCAATAATCAATGCATAAATCTGTTCTCCAAAACAATGTTAGCATTTTTAAGGACAGCTCTATGAATGAGGTTTTACAAAGTATGAAAACTTTTTCTCATCCTGTGTTTCGTACACTCCACAAAAGCAGGAGTTCTTATCTGGTAATATTTTAATCATCTCACCATGGGAAATAAAGCCAGCATGGCATCTCCATCCCACTATTTTGATAACTCCTCTATAAACTATGGATTTTGAAGTGCAAATAAAGAAACAACAGAACTACAAAAGATCGTTTAGTCACATCAAATAATCCCTGCTACTATTGTGAGTGTTGCCCTTTAGCTGCTTTTTCTTATCTGCCATTATCTATAACCTCAAGCAGCAACTGGGAATTCAATGCAGCATGACTGAGAGGGAAATTCCGCTTCCAGTGTTGAGGAAGCAGCACGATACACAAGTCTCACAGGTAGCAGTTCTGGGCTTACAAGAACAGAGGTGCTTGTACACTGCTAGTGCAACAGGCCTACAAAATGCTCTGCTGGATGACTTGATAAGTTTTCTATATCAGAAAAAATGCCCAGGTTCTGGAAGTATTCCCCCTTTCTGTTACTGTTCCACAGGAAGGGAAGGTATAGTGAGATGAATCCAAATTATTATTTAAAATAGGGGTTTGGGAGTATTAAAAAGTCTTGCATCGACCTTTCCAAATTGGTAATGCAGATTTATGTTTCATTTCTTAAGAACATTCTGGCTCCCTTCAATTTTTAGTACCTTGCTGAAGACTTAAAATCTCCATTCTTACCGGAGCTTGCTTCTCTTTATTACGTGCTTTGTCTTTCTTACTGTCTGCTAGGTGAGGACTGGGCTGTTGGAATTGACAGAAACAATGAAACAATGCCACATAAAGGTCCAAAAATGACAGAGAGACCTCAGATTAAAAAAAATAAAAATGCATTGACCAAATTTTGGTCTGAAGAGATTGCATACATTTAATTTAGGAAATAATATTCAAGACAAGGAAACGATTAGCAATTAACTCATCTTATTTTGTGGTGGTAATTCATTTCACATATTTATTTCTATGTAGGCACCACCCCAAACATCACCTGTTTTTCAAAACATTCTCACTGTGACTATCAACAATGCAGAGGTTCTAAGAGGTGAGAATCCAGACCCTGTATTAGAAGAAACCTAACAACCTGACTTTGCAAAAAGCAAATACTGAGCAAGTACTGAGCTTGATAAACTACTGCAATAATACTACTTTGAACAATACATGATTTTATTCTTCCCTAGCAGACCTTTCCTGGTATATGTACTGAAATAGAAAAGTCTTCCTATACATAAAACAATGTTTTACTCTATCTTCATTAATGTTAGATCATTAAATGCCCAATGTTTTATTCATCTGTCAGGGAGACACAGCTTTTCTGTGCAGTGAGACTAAACATGAACGAGAACATGCAAAATATTCTATGTTTAAGGTTAAGCAGACAATAGTAATAGAAAGGCCAAATGAAGTACATCACATTAATAACATTGTTATTGTACCGCTTTCCCTGCAGGCTCCAGCAGTCTCATCATTTCTTTTTGAACGTCCAGAGCTCTTTCTATGCCCTGAAATTAAACATCATTCATTCTTCAAAAGAAAGATAAATTACTTCATTCTAACTGCTTGAATCAGAGCACTTCTAAACACAGACCTCAATACAAAGTCTTTAAAAAATATATATTACAGACATGCTAAGCACAGTCTCCCTCCTTTGAGTGTCCAGAACTGAACAGTCAGTAGCAGTGGAATGATCAGAAATATTTGATTATGCCATTTAATGAGATGGCAAAAAAGTGGTCTCTTCCAAAACCCAACCCGTTCCAGACGAAACAAGTAAGCAACATCTTGGTCTGCCTAATATCCAAGGAGTGGGAGTGTCCACAGCTGTGCATTTCTCCAAAAATACTTAACTGAAAACTGACCAAACTGATGTCTCCAGACAGCAAGGAAAGAAATGCTGTCCTTGTTTCTGAAAGTAGGGAATGGAGGAACACTCCAGTAAAATCCTCTGCTTTTAACACAAGGCTGTTTTCAGCTGAGTTAGGAAAAGTTTAATGCCAACTTTGTAAATCACATTTCAAGTTTCCTTTATCTGTGCTTGTGAAAGAAAGCTGAAAAACTGAAGGGGGCAGAAGTCAGTCACAGCTGACAACGTATCAGCACAGGAGGAACTGCTGTGCTTACTGCGCTGCAGCAAACAGCTTGCTGCTCTCCCTTGAACACTGGGAGGAATTCAGTCTTTGGGAAGTACAGAATTGGTAACCTTATTGTGAGCTCTGTGTGACAGTGCTGAAAAGTTGAAGGAAAAGGAAGAAGAAAGAATCGAACTCAGCTATTTGTTCAGGTCACCAGCATACAAAATAGAAATCACAGCCCTAATGTAGGCATCTTGTGCAGATACATTCTTTAATGCACCATATGGCTAAACAAAAAGAGGGTGCTGACCCAGTCTGTCTCATCCATCCTTCCTGCCCCTTGAATAGATTTTATTCTGCTTTGTATTCCCTTCTATCTTCACAACTTCATTTTTAAAGCAATTTATTCTCAAAGATTGTATGCTCTGCTATGAATTTGTTGGTGTTTTTGTTTTGTATGTGCTACAAATAACCAGTACTATTTCTAACCTAGGAATGTAAAGTCACATTTTTGAAAAGACTCAAGTGTTTTGTAACAGATTTCTGTATCTCCTTCAATGCACTGATTTTTTTTCTGGTATCCTAACACACACACAATTTAAAAAATGTTCAAACGTGAGCCTTACAAGTAAACAGAAAGTGAAATATGTGCTTCCTAAGGTTTCTACTGACTAGATCTATGTATTCGCTCACACATATATGAAATGTAATGGATATATTAATTAAAAAAACAGAATATATTAGTAAAAAGCCCAACAAAACAATACCTGTTTGAGCGATAACTGAACTGGTGGTATGAGCATAACTTCTTTCACTAATTTGAGTTTTGAAGGTGAAAATTTTTCACAGCTCAACAGAGTAACCATTGGAAGTGGCAAAGTCATTTCTTTAGGTGAATCCTGTAATTCAGAGCAGCAAGTGAAAGAAGTGTTAGAAAGAGAATCATTAACTGTACGTTTTAAGTATGGCACAGGGCCAGTTCAAAGCCCGCTACTTAAGAAAGTATTTTATGAGGACTATCACTGCCAGTTTCATGAGAGATCCCCAACTTCACAACTGTAGCAATGAGAATAAACAAAAGGACAGGAGTCACACGTACCTGACTGCGTTTCAGCAGTGCAGTGTGTAAGTACAATGGGATGCCATTAATGGAGGCACCAGCCTTAGCTACAGCGAGCGATGTTCCCCCAATGGCTAAGCTGCCACACAGCACTGATTCACTGGGTTCTGCAGGTGGGATTGTTGTAAGTATACTTGACTTCTTCCCTGAAAGACAGAGAATAGTAGCTAAATATTTTACTGCCTTAAAACATGTGCTTATGTACCAGGGTTATGCAAGCAAATACATTATTCACATTTCAGCAGTGCACTCAATATTACAAAAACAAAACCAACCAACCAACCAAAAAACGACAGCTTTTTAATTTAATGTTGTCACTTGCTGTATATGAAATGACCTTACAAACAAGTAAAGCACCTGTCCTCACTCTGATTTCAAATGTGTTTCAAATCCAGAGCTCTCAGCCATTGAAATCTATGTATGTTTACATGGCGTATTGTCAAATCATTTTTTAGGCTTTTGGTGTTGGTATTTATTGCTCTCCTTACGTGCTCAGCTTTTGCATAAACGACTTGGAATATTACATTCTAAGCTGATTGGGAGTACAAGTACTTGATTCCTTCTAATAATGAGCATGAAAAAAATTGCAGGCCTATTAGAGTTGGATTTTCCAACAAAAGAACATGTCTTTTAAATATTCCACACACACAGACTTGTTAAAATCTTGTTAAATTTTCAAAGGAACTTATTTCCCTTTCAGACACAGTAGAATAACTTTTGTCAAAATGCCTGAAGCCCAGCAGTTCCCACTATTATTACTTTCCCTGCTAAGATGTACAGCAAGCACCTATGTGAAACTGAAATCATATGCAGTGGGTACTTCTTTGTGAATCAACCAAAGCAACTGCTTTGGTCCTAATAAGAACGATATACACATTTTCCTTCTCTGTGGAAGTTTTTAATAAAATATTTAAATACTGCAGCATACAGCTATGGTAGGCAACAAAAGATGCCCAGCACGACCTTATGTGGATATGCTGATTAGATTAAACATCATTTGCATACAACTTTTACACCTCTTACATTGAGGATAAGGAGCTACACACACAGAACATCAGTAACCCAGTACTGAGACACTCTGGTAAATAGACAGCTGCAGATGTTCCATTTCAGGTTAAAGGCAGACTTATTGTGCACGTGTTGAACACATGAGTTGGGAGGTTTTACAAGTAGTTTATGACAGTTCAAACTAAACTGATAAGCAACTGATAATTTGCCAAAATGGACTTCCAGTAAATGAAAACAGGAGATCTTTTTTTTTCTTTTTTCTTTTTTTCTGAGGATAATGTATGTATGGCGGTAACATATTGAGCCTTTTTTCTTTTTCTTTTTTCCCCCTATATAGTAATTCTGTTTCTCTACTCTTGCACCATTTTTTATTCAGTTCCATTATCTCCTTCCTTCTTTTTCACCCTGTCCTGTCTGTCTTTCCCACCTCATCCCCTTCCTCTTTTCTCTTTCACTTCTCACCTTTATTTCCTCCTTTTGTCAGTGTTAGCCACAATTTTCCCTTCCTCCTTCCCCTGTTAATTCTTTTCAACTTCTATATTCAAACTATTTCCATTTTCCTTTTCAGTTCTATGATTCTTTTCTTTCCTTATCATTTTCATTTTTATTCTTCATTTGCATCCTCCTCCATTCTTATTCCTTATTCTGAAGAGTAATAACCTCCTGTCTAAGCCAACCATAAAACAAAGGCAGAAACTCTGTTCAATAAATGCAAGCGAATGATGACAAAACTGTGTATTTTCCTCTCTATTTCTGAAGTAGAAACTGCTGTGATCAGAAGGAAGAAGGGCAGAAAGAAGAAGATTTGAGACAGACTAACCTAACTCTCTGAACACGTGACATTAGTCTTTAGCACCTCTGAGATTACTGCAGGAAGTGTTTTAGCATCTTTGTCAATTTTGGTATAGCAGGAAATATTACAAGGAAATCAACAAAAACCTGTTTTTGCTTCCTTTTTTTGCCCAGATTGTGCCACTGCTGATGGAGCACAAGAAGTTACGGAAACAGTGTCGTCATCTTCTTCCTCCTGTTCAATTTCTTTTTTTTCTTCTTCCTTTTTTGAAAAGTATTCACTGAGAAAAGGAACAAAGATTGGTGGCTCAAAACACTGTCATGCATGTCAAAGGAGGCACGCTATGTTGGCTGAAGAACATGCTGGAGATGGATTAAGAGCGTCTGTTTGAGATTCTGCCCTGATTGTGTGAAGCTGGACAAGTCAGTAAATTCCTGTTTTTGACAGTTATCTGCAACACTGAATAAACAAAAAGAACCACAAGCAAGACTAACAGTCCTCAGCACGTGATTTTCAGGCTGCACTGGTTTGAAAGTGAGCTCTTTGTATACACGATCTTGAAGATAATCTTAGTGTACAAGATCCCCATTCACTTGGTATGACCCATACCAAGTACAGTGGTAAACCCTTCATGACTTTGTGACATGTAGCAACTTGTTCTAAGTTGCTAATTCAGTAGGTCAGCTGTGCACGTCAGGCAGCTGCTTGCAATCCCAGAGTGGCTGAGTTCAACTGCCTGCATGAAATGGAAACTGCATACATACGTGGTCACAGCCACCCAATTCAGACAGACTGAGTATCTAAGCTACATACAGTAATGTAAACAATGCAGTGAAATCATATCTAGATTCTCCTTAGTAGTCTAAATCTAATTTGCATAAGTTCTTATTAGAAATGGCATAATTTTTATATCCAAGTTATGAATCAGCAGGAAATCATACACTGCAATATATCTGAATGGCCTTCTCATGCCAAGCATATAATATAATGTACATAATATGCAAAAATATTTTAAAAATCATTAACTATTGTATATGCTTTTCACTTAAAGTATGAATTAATAGTATTTCAAATGAATGATTTGTTCTGCAGCAGCTTAAAAAAGTAGAAATTCTATGCAAGGCTTACCCAAGCATCTTATCAATTTCACATTGGTCAGTAGGCTTCCAGTCTCTTATCATTGTGCTTAGAGATTCATTCACCCATTCCACAGCGGTGGTAACAGAGTCATTTCTCTCTTTCTCATCAGCTTCGGTTGTTTCAGATAAAGCATTCTCAGGTATTTGATAATGAGAAGAAATTATAGCAGAACAAATCCTCTGCAAAATAATACAGAAAAACTGAAAACACTAATTCTCACTTGGAAATGTCTTCTTAAAGATTAAGAGGTAGATGTCCTTATATCAATGCTACAAGTACCCATCTGCAAATCTGTCTGTTCCACTTTGCTGATCTTTTTTTGATCCAGCACCTCCTTCCTGATCTCTTACACCTCGGTAATCACAGACCTTATTCAAGTTTCTCAATCTAAATTATAACTACTTAAGAAAAAAACTTTTGAGAGATCTGCTTTACATATGCATTTTGTTATCAGAACAAATAAATTCTAAAGATCACACTCTGGCATCTTTTACTGCAGCTGCTGTTAGCCTGTTGTACCACAATTCATTGGCATTTATATTTAATGCCATGGCTCAGGACCATACATATGTTGTCTTATTTAAGCCTATCTTTCTGTACCACAGAAGGTTGAACAAAACTCACTTAATAAAGACATCATTTACAAATATCACAGAGCTGCTTTCATTAATGGTATTAACTTTGCATACTGTGAACATCTTTGAAACTATACTAAATTTCTTTATGTTGTCTCCTCTTTAGGGATCAAGAATGAAAAGAGCCAAAGTTTAACAGCAGGTGTTTGAACTATCACCCACATCAGCATATTGGCTCAAAGAAAAGAAGTTCCTTCACCAACTCTTTGTGGATACTGTACAACTGTTTTGTTTTTTTTTTTTAATGTCACTATTTACTGAACTGGTGAGTTATGGGGATTCAATCCATTCACTAAAGCTGCAAAATAAAATGCTCACTAGGATATGAGTAGAATAGTACATTTCCCTGACAGTGTCTTATTAAATAAATCAGGAAGGAGCAGCTCACACCTTCTCACGGTTTTTCACTGTGCAATATATTTCCACTTCTAATGTTGGTTGACCAACTCCATCAAGAACTTTTCTTCCAGCTAGTTTGCATACGACTGGAGCTTTTGAAAATTTAGAGAAGTAGTTAGCCTTAAATGAAAGAGAAAGAACTCATTAGAAGGCAGTTTCTATGCAAACAGGCTTTTATTTCATGTAGCAAATTATATCCACCATTGAGCAAATCCATTTATTCACCCCAATATCAAACGTACTCCTGTTTATGTCTGCAGTATCTGCTTATGAATCATTCCAGGGAACAGATCCAACTCAAATCTCAGCCTGGGAAGTCCAAAACCACATCCAGGTTAGATAACGTATTTTATTTTGCAAAGTGATGGGTATCACTAAATACATCCATAGCCTCCTAGAAAACGTGTTTATCCAAGGTTTAACTGGATTTACGCTATATAACAAAAACAGTTGTGTTATTTGCCTGCTACTTGTGAGATCTGCTTCACACGGGAAAGTTCTCACCGTGCAGCAAGTCGATATACCGTAATTATTTTATCTGTGGGTAAGATCTTGAAAAAAAGTGCATCTCTTAGTGTGGAACGTGTCAGGAGAGAGGAAAGATTCCAGAAAAGAACAACCCTCAGAAACGCAGGCAGAGCTGCGCGAGGTGCTGCGTTACCGCAGAAGTGACGCAGCTCTGAGGTCAGCGCGTGGTAAACCTGGGGTTTCAGACGGAGCTGCGAGCAGAGCGCTCTGAATTATTTATCCAGCAAGGTCTGCAGTGGGCTTGGCACTGACATCACGGGCTGTGCGAGTATTGCTGGGGCTCATTTGTATTTCATGAACACCAGCGTCGCTTTAAATAAAAGATCACGTTGCCACGTGAGGCTTGTTACAGACTTTCTTGGCAGTTTCATCCTTTCGACAGAGCTTATGGCTCACGAGGAACCAGGAAGCAACAGGGGCCGAACATCCAGTAAAGCCGGAACAGCGCCAGCTCCACTTCCCACGGGCGATAGCGGCGCACTCGCAGACGGCAAACACCGTCACGTTTCCACACACACCGCCCAGCCCTCCGCTCCGCCCCGCCCTCCGCAGGCAGCGGCGCTCAGCTCCGCCCCACCGCCCCTCACGGGGAGCGCCTGCGCGCCGCGCCCGGCTCCGCGGTACCAAATCCCCGTAGAGGTCCGCGGGGCGCAGCGGGAAGAGGGTGTTGAGCGCCTCCTCCATTCGCTGCGGCACTCGGTGGCCTCGGTAGTACTCCGCCGCCTCCCGTCGCAGCCGCTCGTCTCTATCAGCCTCCATCGCTGGGCCGCTGCTCTCGCGAGACTGGCGGGGCCGCCCTCGCGGCCGTTACCCCGAGGCGGGAAAGCCCTGAGGCGGGCGGCGGGCTGGCCGTGATGCGCAGCTTTGTGCGTCCTGCATTTGCCCTCGGGGCGTTGTGTTGTTCCTTTGCCTAAAACCGTGGGCTGCCTGCCTGCTCCTCCTTCTCCGACTGGTTATGAGCAGGTATTGTTTAGTTCTAAAAGTCTCCGAACAACAAAGCTGTGTAAGATTATCGTCCTGAAAGAGAGACAGATTGCGGTCTGTGAAACGTCTGGTGAGGGTAGCGCTGCAAAAAGAAAGCTGCCTTTAAAAGCCCTTTACTTTCGATGAAAAGAAACGTTTCACAACCTAAATGATCATTTTTAGTCTGCGATTTCCTGCGAAAACTTTCACTTTGTTACGCTGCCCATTGGTAATTTTGTTGAAGTAACTGAAAATGGAGATACTTAAAAAGCTGTTAGCCGCAGCTTCCTCAGCTCTAAAATCAATACGTGTGGACCTCTGCTCATTGTACGTTTGCTTCTCTGGGCTGGGTGATAATGAAGAAAAATCCCCACTGAATCATTTTCTTTTCCTTTCACATCCTTCAGAAATAACATGGTGCTTCTCCAGAGAGTTAAACCCTCTTCTTCTTTTCTTTTTTTTTCCTTTTCCTTTTTTTTTTTTTTTTTTCTTTCAGCTTTTTCCTCGGGGGAGGTTTCAGAGCTGGCACTAGCCATGTCCCGAAGAGAGTGAAAAGTGAATGTGTGGTGCGGCTTTTCTGGCTCAGAGCAGCTCAGCGTGGTGTCTGCTGCTCCTTTATATCATAGAATGGCCTGGGTTGAAAAGGACCACAATGCTCATCTGGTTTCAACCCCCTGCTATGTGCAGAGTCGCCAACACCAGACCAGGCTGCCCAGAGCCACATCCAGCCTGACCTTGAATGCCTCCAGGGATGGGGCATCCACAGCCTCCTTGGGCAACCTGTTCCAGTGCTTCACCATCCTGTGTGAAAAACTACCTCATATCTAACCTAAATCACCCCTGGGGGGTCACTCAGCTGGGTGTGATGTGAAGAGTAGGTTCAGACCTGTGTGGCACATGATTTGGCCCACAGCATTCCCATTTAATGTTAAATGTTCCTGTGGGAATGCGGTTTTTGAGGTAACGGTGCTTGTGTGGTGCTTGGGGGCACCGGTACTTGATTACTGGGTAATCAAGTTACTGGTTTGGGGGTGCTGCCTGCTGCTGGATTTTGGTTGCCTTGAACTCTGTTTCCCACCTTCTTGTTTTTAAAGTGTTCAGAGTAAAATGCGGAGAAACAGCATTGCTTGTGGCTGTGTGGGTATTGATCAACAGTCTGGGAAGAGAAACCTGTCAATTTCCCTTGCTAGTTTTAGGAGAACAGTGAATCAAAGGAAGTTGGTGGTCACTTTCTACAATAGCCTTGCATTCTGTCTAAATTCATCGTTTTAAATAGCACCAAGGATTGCAAGTATTTATCACTTTTGCCTCATGATCAAGTGAACGTTGCATGAATTATTGGCGTAGTCGTGTAATTTCCATTAACAGTAATAGGAGCTGTAAGCATGTAGAAGGAGGATGGCTTATCCTATGATCCGACCTATTATGAAGTATTTAACTGATTAGTTAGGGTGCTGCAAGCCACTTCATACCATCGGTGAACTCCCTGCAACCCCATTATCTTCATTAGGCTTGTGTGGGTGTAATTAATTGGTGTTTAGTTAACAGTCGTGTTGAATGAAAAGAATTTAGTTCTATTTCTCTTAGTTTTATTGGCCCCATAGTGCTAACAGGCTAAAGTGTAATTAAAAACTCACTAATCAAAGTGCAAGTAGCAAGCTCTAAGGAACTCACACACGTGAGGGAAAAGCATGTGGTTGGTGTGAGTCTGTCCTTGCCAAATGAGCAGGTACAAATGACATCCTGCCCTAGTTCTTTTTCAGTCTTGAATTACAAAGGTGATTCAGTTATATTGTATGTGCTTTTAAACAGTACCCAACCACAAAGGCTGCCATTACCGCTTTCCTAGGGCTGTCTGGTAACACTGTACTGTGATGTCTTCTTAACTGATTTTTCTACTCAAAATGCTTATAGTTATATTGAACTTTGGTTAGACAGAAAAATCAATTTTATACTCCTTTACAGAGAAGCCATATGTAATTTTTTCTCTGCTTTTGATTTTGCTGTAGCTCCTTTGTCAGGAAATACCCTATGATCAGCTGCTCCTCGTTTATGATACCATATTCTGTGCATTACTTTGTTTCTCCCAGGCTTTTTTTTTTTATGTCTGGCTTGAGTCTTGTAGCAGTGATTATCAGCATACTGCTGGGTGTGCTAAACCCAAGTACAGTGTCACATGCCTACATGTTACATAAAGGATGTGATTTTTTCCATTCTGAAATGTTGCTATAAAGGCATAAATGTGCCCCTTAAATCAATTAAGATTGTGGTCTCCCTGCCATCTATGTTTCTTTAGGATTTCACAGAGGAGTAATGTGTGCTTATTCTGCTGGCAGGGTTCTTTGAAGTCAAGTCTGAGCGCATAAAAACTGCATGGCGTTTCCAATGAAATCAGGATTGCTGTTTTATCTTGGCAATACAAACACTCTTACATGAATATATTACTGGTTTTAAGGCATCCTCGTTTCTTAAAAAGAGGCTTTTTAAGGTTCTTCTCTTCATGTGTAAAAATAATTCTAGTGGCTTCCCCCCCCCAGATATATTCTATATAAGGCAAACAAGTAACAAAGTTGAATACAGGGTTGTATAAAGGATCAAGACAAGCCTTGGGTCATAGGATGCAGCTACGCATAACATTTAGGTTGGGCTTTCTGTCTAGATAAAAGTTACCCAAGAACTTCTGCAGTGTATCTGATGGATATGAGGAAATACATGTTAACAATTTAGCTTGTGTTTTGTTTTTCTTTTTTTTTTTCCTCTGGTGTTGTTATTTTAATTCCCAGAATACTCATGTAAGTGTTCATTTGCCTTGAGTAGTTGTTCTCCGCTCCAGTGGTTACTTCAAGTTGAGTGGGTTTTGGTACTAATTTATTTCTGAAGTTGGAGGATTCTTCCTGTGGCTCTGTGTGGCTCATGCTGTGCAAGGGTGAGCCAGGCCTTCTGCAGAGGAGGCCACAGGCCTGCAATGTGAGAGCTGATTGGCTTTCATTTATCATTCCAGCTCTGAAGGTAATTTGGAACGTGTGGTACTTCTGCTCAAGTCTTTCAGCTGATTTTTCAGTTTACAAAAGATTGTCTTCACATTTCTGTGATGTAACTGTTTTTTACTGTGTATTTTCTTTGTAATGCGCCACTTCTTGATGAGTGCTTTGATAGTTTTATTCCATGGCATCAGGAGTTCACTACGTGATTTCTTTGTGCATGCATTTTGAAGTACCCAGTATGAATTTTAAGACATTATGGAAGCCTATGTATTTCCAGGGTGTTGACACGATGGATTATAGAGATTTTTGTCTGTATTTTCAATAGGATACTCTGAAATGTTAGTACTCTTGTGAATATTTACAGAGTTAAGGTGTTACTGGGCTTTGTAAAACTCATATACAAACATTTTTTATGACATGAGGAGTCTCTGTTCATGCATCAGTTATTTTGTATCAGTTATCGATACAATTTCATAGATCGCATGGCAAACTGGCCATGCTGCATTTGGTACTTAGACAAAGCTGTGATGAAAAAGGTGAGCAGAGAGCTAAAAAGTAGGAGCATCTACTTAAGTTTTCTAGGTCTAGGGAAAAAAAAAACTTTTACATAAATCAGTGGAATTTATTCTTTCATTTTTTAAAAAAATATTTATTTATGGTCAGAATTATTTCCTTGGATGTGCTTTTTTTTTTTTTTTTTTTTTTTTTTTTTTTTTTTTAATTTGTGTATTTTTATTTGTATAAATCTTTCTGCTTTCAAAGAGCGTTGCCAAAATTATTTTTAATCTGAATTATATTTTAGCTTTACCCTTTGGGTTTCCCCCTTTCTTTTAAGGATCTCATATTTTTATATTGGATTGAAAATCCCCTACATTTTCTCAACCATAGTAAAAGCATTACTTGTAGTTCCAAGTACAGAAAGTTTTGGGATTGGAGGCAATCTGTTCCTGACTGCAGATCGAAGGCTTATATGACTGAGAAGCTGAACTAGTGCAGGTTATCTGTGGGATCCATGAAAATTAAAGTTTTAAATCACATTTACGTAGGAGCTTGTAATAGTTGAAGTGTGAATATTGTGATGAATGAGCAATAGCATTAACTGAATTCTCAAGTCCCGTAACTTGCTGACAGGTTTTAAGAGAATCTGTTCTGTTTCTTTCTAGGAAAAGTGAAGCCGAGAGCAGAGGATTTTAAGGAGTTCAAATAAAAAGGTAATTTTCACATTACTGTTTAGAACTGAGGCTTTTCTATGTCCTCTATTTTTTTTTTTCTTCAACACATTTTTTGGGACCAAACTGTGTATGGAAGAAAAGGAAGAATGGCATTTTTTTCCCCATGGTATATCTCCTGATTTTTGCAACCTTAATCACTTGGGGCATGTCTTGAACTTTTAACCTTCTTTCTCCAGCAACGATGCTGTGAATAATGGACTCTCCTGCTTGACACATAACTAGACTGCAGTTCAAAGTGGATGTCACAAACACTATTGCACCATCTGGAACAAAAGCTTGACCTATCATTTTGGGATAAGCCCACAAGATTATATGAATTTATAACTGACTTCATGTTTGTATTAGAGATACCTAAGTAGTGCAATTGTACAAATATTTTTTTAACAATTTTTGCCTCTCTTGATGGTATTTTTTGCACAAAACCCCCAGATTTTCAGATCTCAGATGAAAGTGAGTGGGGGAAACCCCACACCCCCCAAAATGTTAAATATTTCCCATGAGGCCAGGGAAATGCTGTACTCATTGTGACACTAAAATCCTCTATTTCCTTCTATTTCTGTTAATGCTATTGTTACCTTTAACAGTTTACTTCAGTTTGAGTCTTGCTCTGTAAAAAGAGAGAAATATTGTTCCTACATACTCTTGGAAAAAATAGCAATAAGAGAAGCTGGATGCAAACTGGAAAGCTTTTGAGAGCATACCTCCTGAAGTACACAGTATTCACAGTTCCATGCAAGATACTCAGTTACAAATCTGAATAATGTCCTGCAGCTGCAGAGAAGCACATATTCTTTCAAAGAATAAATTTACTGAAAGGCATTCCTGTTTTGAGTGTACATCATCAACAAAATATTGTTTTGGTGAATTCTGTGTGCTGATAGAATTATACTAGGAGCTACTTGTATGGCTTGGCTGAAAGCACTGATTTGGAGTGAGCTCAAACACCTTTGACTCTCCTCAGAAGTCAGTGAGACTTATAAATCTGTAGCATTTCTTACAGAATGGCTTGAAATTAGATGGAACTATGGGCATGAGGTCAGTCCAGCGGCTTTGCAGTTGTCTTTTAGGGAAAGAAGGAACTCTTATAGAGACAGTATCGCATGGAGAATAGTTTGATTTTCTCTTCTTTACTACCCCCCATCAATTATTTGTATGGATTGATAAGATAATCCCAGGCCTTTTCCAATCTGAAGAGTCCCAGCTCTCATTTTCTCTCCATGTGAGGGATGTTCCAGTCCTTTGATCATCTTTGTGCACTGTGCTGAACTCACTCCAGTAACTTCATATCTTTCTTGTGTAAGTTGCATGCATGGAAATTGTAAAGACAGATTTGGTGATGCTAGCGTAAGGATTTGATTGTTTGATGGAGGATAACTGGAAACATGCTTAAGAATAGAATTCAGTATCAGGCTCTGGGTTTCTATCAGGATTTATCAGAAAACCTGTGTGTGAGCCACTGAAAATATTACAGACTCATTCATTACATATAGCATTGATAGGAATGTACCTTTAACTCTTGAAGACTTTTTAACAAGTCTTCTGTTTTCTAGTCTCCATTTCTTACAAGAGCTACTAAGAGCAACATGGGACGAGAAACTGATAGAGATAATTGTTTGGTAGATGTCCCTCTAGAACTGCAATTGCACATTTTGTGAAATGTGTGTAGAACAATGAAAAAAAAACAGTATGGAAAACATATTAGCCAGAAAGCAATCAGCACACCTAATGTGTCCAAACAGCCATTATGAAAACCACCACTTTCTGCATCAAGGAAAGAGGATATGTTTGTTGTTAAGTGCTGGTATCTGCCCATCAGGCCGAGAGAAATACCCAACCTGCACAACTGGATTTGTCAGAGTAGTTTGAAAAACATCTGCTTTTTGCCTTTGCCAGTTTATTGATACTCTATTTCTTGGTCCATTCATGAGGGGGATAGCAGTTCAATAACACAATCTAGAACACTTCTGGCAATGCATGCTCTGTTTCAATAAGTAACCGTGACATTATTTGAGAAGTGCCTGTTCTATTTTAAAGTTAAATGAAATCCTAGCGCTTGTATTTTTAGAAGCTTAAATCCACAATGGACTATCAGATCATTTACTCTTGACCTCCCATGTATACCAAGCTTTGCGCTGCTGTTTTTGCATGCGATTTAAAAGATTAAACAGTTTTAGTTTTAATTTGAGAATAATTGCTGCCTGCTTGCAGCATAATATCTTAATAAAGAGCATAGCTCTTAATTAAAAATTGTGTATCTTTTAATTATGTATTCTATGAGCATTGACTGTAACAGGCAAGAAAATGAGCATAGGAACATCTTAAATTCCCTGGCTACTTGTCAGAAGATAGTAGAGTTTTTCTTTTATGTTTTCTACTTCTAAACAGTCATTTTTTCAGGGCTGCCATGAAGCGTTTGTGAAGCTACTGCGCCAGCCTGCCCTGTGATGGGAGTTCATTCAAAGGCCATGTTGTTTCAGGACAAGCATCAGTAGCAATTACCACTTCCAGCTTTTCTCTGGAAGTGTGAGTTTTTGCCAGGGGCTCCAGAGTCGCTCTGCTAGCTTCAGCCTCAGAAAGAAAGATCGGTTATTCTCAGTTTCCTCTGTCAGTTCGTAATGCTTAAATTTCAGATCGAAATTGTACTCTCAGTGGCTATTGTGGGGCTGTGCATTTGAAAAAATATCTGGATCTTTCCCACTATGATCATCTTTCAGCTGGTCGGTGTGTGATGCTATGTAAAACAGCCACCATGCTTGCCTACGTTAGAGGCACTACCAGAGAATAAAGAATTTCACTGCCATGATGACTCAGCACATGAATAGCTTATAATGATCTGGTTCTCTGACCTTTTCCCCAGCCTCTAAGAAGCTTTCAAAAGCTATTTATTCTTTATGGAATTTGTGATTTAAAAACAAAACAAAAAAACCAACTTGACAGCTATGAATGACAGTACATAGAGATGGATTAAAAAAAAAAAGAATTCAAAATGAGAAAAGATGAGATTTTGTACAGTTTTTCAGATTTTTGTTCTGATTAGGTTTTACAAATATGGACTTTTTTTTGCCTGTTTGCACAGACAGCCAAATAAACTGTGATCTGAATTTTGTACCAAACCTCTAAAACCTGAGTACTAAAGTGATGAAAATCATAATGCCTTTGGGTGCACTCTTGAATCAGTGCATAACATGGCAGAGTTTTTGTTATAAATTACTGCATGTTTCAAACAAAGACAGGAATTAAATATGGTCTCAAGACATTTCTGTTGGTTTGATTGTTGTTAGAATCAGTGTTAGTATGGCATTTTTATAAGCTGTTGCTTTCTAAAGCTATGGAGCAGAGCGACACAAAATATGGTCTTAGTTGATAAGTCACTGTTAGCAAATGACTGATTTGAAGGGGATTAAACTCACTATTCAGTAACTAAACCCACTTCTTCAGGCCACTCCAGGCTTTCTGTGAGGCTCTTCTGCATATGCACGACTTTTTAAGGTTAAAAAGAAATTACATTAGTCTGGTTTTAAGAACTGGAATAGGAACTGGGGAAAATGTAAAAGAAGCAATTATAGAATGTTGTCCCTCAAAGCTAAAAGAAATAATGCATTAATTCAATGTAAATGGGAAAAAAATAGGTCCTGTATGGATTGGTGTTTGTTTGTTGTTTAGCTTCTTTAAAAATAGTCGTGAAAACATAAAATATGTGAAAGTGATCCTCATAAAGCACAATCATCCACCAGAGCTGGCCGTGCCAAACTTGCTCTATATGCCCATATGCATCCATCTATGGGAGCTGCTGCTTTTTTGCCTCCTTGTTCTTGAACTTCACTAAGAGCTTTCAATTGCTCTGACATTTTCAGCCAAGGAAGTAATAGTTGTTGCTGAGCAATATTCTACAACCAATTATCTTATCTGATCATTGGAGCAATCCTCGCTAGAAAGGCACCAATACGATCAAGTTAAATCATTACAGAAAGGCAAGGGAAACAGAAGGAGGAACAAGCCGAGAAAAAGAGGCTCATCTCATTAATGGGTGCCTATGCTGCAGGCTTCGGAACAGCAGACAATGAAGCTAGCATGTAAGACAAAGCTGTGGAGTTGCCTCCTGTAGCTGTTGACAGGTCTGAATCCTCTCTTCAGAGCCCTTTGTGGCTGTAGTGTGAGGCACCTGCAGAAAATGTGCCAAAACTAGGCAGGGAGTGCGAGCTTTTCAATAGGCTGTCACCTCTCTCTCCCTTCACTCACTCCTCCGGTTCTCAGCAGGAGAGGAGAAGCCATACTGAAGAACTAGACTGGAAAATAGTCATGTGATGGGAAAAGGGGTTGGATATAGACACCTTACTGTTGCCAACTTTCTGTGCCTTTTACAATTCAGCTTCCTCAACCATTCCTGAGATTTACTCTCTTTGCCTAATACTGCTTTTAGTCTAATGCCTCTAAACAACTGCATTATAAGGGCAGGCAAGCCACCATCTGATTACTGTCAGCAAGTGCATTTTTTAATGTTTATTTTTTCCTATTTCTGCTCTGTAAAGGAAGATACAGATTTTGTTTTCATTAACAGACTGGTAAAGGGTGATTTGAGTACAGCCAAAATTGCCACTGACTTTATCTTGTGGGTGAGTCCGAGGATGAAGCCAGGCTTCTTCCACTGATTTCTAGACGTGGTCTTGTGCTTTAACTATCTGTGTGTAGAAGTCTGAGTTGTTTTAATGTTTCTAGAGAGGCCTACGCATACTTATTTAAAAGGAGAATGAGTGCACCTCTGTACATACAGGCAAATTAAGGACTTGTATGGAGTAATCCTTAGAGCTTGAAGAATTTGCAAAGGAGGGAGTTTTAACCATTCTGAAAATGGTCTTTGTGTGTCTGAGCATATTCACATATATACCTTGTACCTATGTAACATTTTTTTTCTCTTCATGTACAACTTGTTATTGTGCATAGATGGTATTAGTGCAGGGGGCTTGGAGTCCCAATCAACCCTTCTTATACTCAGCACAAATACAAGATGGAATGTTTTCTGAAAAGAAACTCAGTGGATTAACAATGGTTGTATCTGCACACTGGGGTACAAGTTTGTCTCGGTGTATCCTCATTGTGGCATTTTGCATACAAAACTTGGCTCCATCTTCTGAGATTGAGTTCAGGACATGTGTGAGGTATCTCCTCTGTATGAACAAATAACTTTCCATATGCACATAGCTGCCAGCAGTGACTCAATTAAGGTAGGTCTTTAATATGCCCAAGTGATATATTTTGGTAATGTTCTATCAAAAGTAAAACGAAATTATTTGAAGAAATGTTAGGGAAACATTTACCCTTAGACATTCGTCCTTATATATTGCTGAAACATTTGACAGCTCCAGCAGGGAGGGAGTTGCTTTTTCTGTTAAAAGAATATAGGTACTTAATCCAGTAGGTCTGCAAGTACACGAAGAATACAGTCAGAGCAATCAGATGAATATGCGATTGTGTATCTCTTTATTCCAATCTGGGTTATGCATACTTTCCTTTCTGATGTCTCCTGAGGCACATTGCAGGTAAGATCGCATTTAGTTGTTTGTTCACTCACCAGCACACTCCCCAAAAGGCAAAGGTTTGTGTCTGATTGTTTAAGACCTTGCTTCTGCTTTGAACACGTCTAGTTCCCTTGGAAAAACATTCTCCACGTCCCCATCCCCCTTTAGAGAAAACAAGTGAACTATTCATGCAAAAAAGTGTGTGTGTGGTTGGGAGAGTGGGGGGGGGCGTGCAGTGCCACCGACAAACCCTATTGAAATGCATTGGCTGTTCATTTACATTCACACTTTTTTTAATAAAAATGTTAACTAATGATGTTAAATGCTTTGCCAAAGGTCCTGGCGGGTCAGTAGCCGAAGTGCCATTTCTGCCTAATTAGGGCTCTTGTGGCAGCCCAGGGGCCTCCTGATGCAGTGGGTGACAAGCCAGGAGCTGACAGCTTCAATCGGCTCCAACAGGAAGGTTGGGCTGGTCATGTTTTCTAACTCAGCCAGGTGTTAGCTGAATGTAGGGGGGGTCTTGGCCAGACCTGAGCATTCGTTTGATCTTCCTTTCTTTCACTTGCTCTATTTTGAGCTCTTCCCTTTGCCTGTCCCGTCTTGTGTCAAGGTCAAGAATGAGCTTGACTAAATCAGCAATTTCATTTATCTCTGGGAGATCATTAGCAGTTGTTCTCCCTTCCCTCCCCACATAAACCTTAGGCACTGGTGCAGAAACAGGACTGGTTCCGTAAACCAGGCACTGAGTAGTCCAAATATAGAAAGACATAAGAAGGAATAAACACAGATCTTTCCGTAAATAAAAACCTTTCTACTTCTCTGGTACTTTCCTTTTCTTTATTTTTAGTGTATAATAACATTTTCCATCAAAACACCCTAAGAAACAGACAGAAAAAGCCTATAGTATGTTTAAGGTTTTATTTCTTTACTACTCTAGTAAGAGCAGTAGAAAACACTGCTGTAAAATGACAAGAAAAGAAACGGGGTAAATAAGGTTTTCCTTTGACCTCAGCTGTCTTTTAGTAGCAAATTGATTATATTTGTGGCCACATTCTTTCAATAGTTGGCCGGTCCTAGGTGTCTCAGCATCTAACAACTGTAAAATCAGATCGTCAATATATTGGGGGATTGGCTTTTTTAATTGAGTGTCTTCACTTGTTTACTCAATAACACTTTAACTTCAGCTGAGTTGTGTTAGTTTCTGTTAACTGAAAAAATAGCCCTTTATTTATAAAGCATAAACACATTGCTGGCCATTGTATAAGCAACTCAGGATTTTAAAATTCTTTACCAGACAATGGCAAAAAGCATTAGACCTGATCGAAGTGGTAAAAACTTACTACATTTCTGTTCTTTTTCAGTATGGGAGGAATCTGATATTGAGATGAGGTTCATTTTTTCAGACTAGTTTTCAGACATCTCAGTTTAAACAGATGAATTGAACTAATTCCACGTAACAGTCTCTGTGCAAGAATTGCTCTGATTTTGATGGAATGAAACTGCAGTTGAGTTAAAAAGTAGCACTTGGATGGTAACAGACAGCTGCTTAATAATGCTGAGGAGTAATGGCGGGAAACAATAAGGGAAATTATGAATTGCTGAATAGCTGCAGTCGTATTGTAATGTTAGATTTGTTTGTTTGTTTGTTTTTACAAAAAGAAAAAAAATTCAGCTCTGGGGAAAACAAATACGCTTCTGTTGTATTTGGCGAAATTGTAGCTATGAAACAGTATAAAATTAGAACTGACAGCTGACATGCAGTTATACTTTAAGAGCATGAACAATTGAAGTGTAATTCCAATATTTTATTCAATACTTGTTTACATTGAGGACAACTGTTACAGTAGCACAATGTTCCAAACTGGGAGTCTTAAAAGTTTTGTTACGCAGTTTGAGACAGACACCCTGACTTTCAAAAGAGATTATTATGAGGTACAGAGGTAATTGTGGCAAATTCATTTCTTTCAGGAGAAAATTTAAATAGAAAATGAGATGAATCACTTTAGTCCACACCTTGTCTGATCTACTTTCTGGATCTGCACTGTACATCTAACTTACACTATACTGGTGCAAGAAGAATTTGGCATGCAAGACTGTAACTGTCTAGATAGGGTAGATAGGGTAGATTATCTACAGGGTAATTTCCAGGGAAGATTTTTTTTTCTTCTTTTTGATGCGATTTTTTTGTAGTTATGCTTCTATTATACATGTAGAGATATTTCATTGGTACCCACTATCAAATAACATGAAGCAGAATGCTTGCTGTTTCCATATTACTGATTCCCTTTGTTCTAAGATAATTTTAGCCTTCTTTTTAAAAATGTACTGGTTTTGGAAAGCTGTTAACAATGACAGAAGGCAGACTGTCACTGGCAGATAGCTGCAGTGGGAGCACTGTGATTATGCAGATGTGCTCTGGTGATATCAAAAATACCTATCACCAATTTGATAATATTCTATCAGTTTACTGCATTCTGTCTTCTGTTTTCTTGTGTAGTTTTTCTTAATGGCTACTACCATACAATACACAGATCTTCAGTAGGTTTTAAAAATACATGTCTATTAGTTGGCTTCTGTTGCACCCTGGAAAAAATACTTTGCTTGTGTAATAACATACAAATTGTAGCAATGTACTTATA